CCCCCAGCCCCCCCTTACCTCTACATCAAGGACCCCTGAGCCTCCTATTCCCAGGTCTGCCCACCTTGTGCCCCCTCTTTCCTTGGCACTGGGGAGCCCTGGATGCCCTTTCCTGGGCACAGGGATCCCCTGGAACCCCCATCCCGCCTCTCCCAGTCCCTGCACGCTCCTTCCATAGCCCTGGATCCCTCTGAGCCCTCATTCCTGGACACCAGGACCCCCCTGCACGCCCTTTCCTGTCCATCCCAGCTCTCCCACCTCTGCACACCCTTTCCTTGGCCCCAGCATCCCCAAACCCCTTCCCAGCTCTCCCAGTTCTCCTTTCACTGATCCATGACCCCCTCAACCGCCCCAAATCTCTGTTTCCCCCCAGTTCTCCACTCCCTGCATTACCTGGATGTGGCGGTGTCAGAGCCCAGCCCGGGGGTCCCCCAGTACATGGAAATTGGGTTTGTGGATGGGATCCCCTTCACGCGCTACGACAGCGAGCGGGGCAGGGCGGAGCCGCTGACGCAGTGGATAAAGGATGGAGCCGAGCCGGGATATTGGGATAGGCAGACCCAGATTGGTGTGGAGAGCCAGCACGTGGATGCCAGGAACCTGGAGACACTGCGGGAGCGGTACAACCAGAGCGGGGGTGAGTGGGGTCTGTGGGGCTGGGATGGGATCTGTGGGGAGGAATGGGGACCTGTGGGGCTGGAATGGGGATCTGTGGGGTGGAATGGGGATCTGTGGGGTGGAATGGGATCTGTGGGGTTGGGATGGGAACTGTGGGGCTGGAATGGGGATCTGTGGGGTGGAATGGGGATCTGTGGGGTGGAATGGGATCTGTTGGGCTGGGATGGGATCTGTAGTGCTTGGATGAGGATCCATGGGTCTGGGATGGTATCTGTGGGTCTCAGCTGTGGATTCACAGGGATCGAAGGGGCTGAAATGGGGATCCATTCGGCTGGGATGGAATATCTTGTGATCCATGGGGATGGGATGGGATCGATGGGGCTGGATTGGGGACCCATAGTGCTGGGATGGAATCTGGGAGGCTGGGGTGAGGATCCATGGGGCTGGTCTGGGATCTGTGGGGCTGGAATGTGAATCCATGAGGCTAGATATGGGATATGGGGTCTGGGATTGGATCTGTGGGTCTGGGATGGGATCCAGCGGGTTGGGTCATGGATCCATGGGGCTAGAGATGGGATCTGTGGGGCTGGGGTGGGATCTGTGGGGTGGAATGGGATCTGTGGGGCTGGGATGGGATCTGTGGGGTGGAATGGGGATCTGTGGGGCTGGGATGGGACCTGTGGGGCTGGGATGGGAACTGTGGGGCTGGGATGGGATCCGTGGTGTGGAATGGGGATCTGTGGGGCTGGGATGAGATCTGTGGGATGGAATGGGGATCTGTGGGGCTGGGTGGGAACTGTGGGGTGGAATGGGATCTGTGGGGCCGGTATGGGATCTGTGGGGCTGGGATGGGATCTGTGGGGTGGAATGGGGATCTGTGGGGCTGGGATGGGAACTGTGGGGTAGAACGGGATCCATGGGGATTGAATGGGATCCATGGGGATGGAATGGGACCTGTGGGGCTGGGATGGGATCTGTGGGGTAGAATGGGGATCTGTGGGGATGGAATGGGATCTGTGGGGCTGGGGTTGAATCTCTGGGGCTGGGATGGGACCTGTGGGGCTGGGATGGGATCTGTGGGGTGGAATGGGGATCTGTGGGCTGGAATGGGATCTGTAGTGCTTGGATGAGGATCCATGGGTCTGGGATGGTATCTGTGGGTCTCAGCTGTGGATCCACAGGGTTCCAAGGGGCTGAAATGGGGATCCATTCGGCTGGGATGGAATATCTTGTGATCCATGGGGCTGGGATGGGATCAGTGGGGCTGGATTGGGGACCC